TTTTTTTTTTTTTTTTTTTTTGGTGAAATTTCTTTTAAGAGAAAAATGGAGAAGATGGATGAGTGTATGTTGGAGAATGGATTGGTTTGTATTCTGGAGATTTTTAGGGGATCGAATTTGTTAAAATATTGTAGTGATGATTGAATTGGCAGACTTTCGCGAATTTCGCGACCAAAATATAGCGAGAAGAAAAATCATCTGCTCGATCTCAAGCTTCGTCCAATGAAGAGAAAAATCTGTCTACGGTTCGTTTGAACACGCGTCTCATCCAGCTAAGAAATTTCTTTCCAATTTCTTTGATGTCTAATCTTCAGATCTTTGACCTCCTACGGTTCGCCTTTAAAATACGATCGTCGAAAAACTCGGGCCCTGTGTAAATTAATAATCTGTTTAAAAATTACTCAAAGGTTTCAAAAATTTCAATTTCAAAAATTTGATACCGAAATATTAATACTCGTGTTTACGCTGTTCAAAAGGGAGAATTTGCAATATACGTATTTTTCGAATCAAAATAATTAAAAATCTTCCTCCAAAATATCAATAGCCATCGCATAACATCACAAAATCACAAAAATCCGAGAAATCGCCTTCGAAGATCCGAATAGGAGAATCTGCAGCGAGTTTCGAGCGTAACGCGTGTCTCCCGAAATAGGAAATCGAAAAACGGTCTCGAGGAACAAAAGGAACGTACGAAAAGGAGGAAGAAGGTAGCCCGTTCTCCGCCCGCCACCTGCTAAAAGAGGCAAGGTTAATGGCACGCGATGTTTGCTCGGATATCCTTTGGCAACCGTGTTCCAAGCCCGTTAATGAGTCCAAATTGATTTCGAGCAGTGCATGACCGACATCAAAGGGTAGATGAGCAACAAGTACTCCTACGGAGAGAAAGAGAGAGAGAGAGAGAGAAGCGAAAGACAAAGATTACAATTTAAGCCTGTTTACGTCGGGATTCCATTTCTGTGATCACGTGCATGGTATTTGTAGTCGATCCTCCCTTTCTTCGTTTCTCTTCCCCTTCGCTCGTTAAGCTCCCTTCCTATCTCTTATCTATTCGTTGCATTTGCCTCCGTTTTGTTTCGATTCCCCAAACGTGGATTTTCGGTCGGATTTGCGGTTGAATCTCTCTGTGTTCGTGCCAGTGTTCGGGCTACCGGTGGAGTGGATGCTTCTTTGTTTTTGCGGTTTAGACCGGTGGATGGATAATTGAGATGAGTGTATAATTGATTTTATAAGAAAGTTTGCGGGATAATTGGGGAATAAACGTGTTTGCTCGTTCGTTTTAATCGTTTAATGATCTGAAAATTATATAAAAAAAAAAAGAAAACAAGACGAATTATCGAAGGAAAATTTTTTTTCGAAGAGAATGAAATTTTTAAAAATTTTTAATGAAACAGGTGGAATGAATTTTAAAGGATATTTTGAGTGACGAGAGGACGAGTAAAAGCGTAATTTTAACTCGTTACGTCATTACGAACACGTATCTAGATCTACTCTTCATTATTATCATTTTAAATTAAAAAATACCGATTGACCAAATTACAGATTTACGACCGTAAATCATCGATTAATTCATTCGATTATATTCAACGGGAGAGGTTTATTACCCCCTTATAAACTTCTTTCCGTCGCCTTTGAAACTGGTTATATATTCCCCCACCCGTTCGATTGTTCGGAATAACCTCTCGGGTTAAAGAGCCTCCGGTTTTCGCAATAAACTCTCACTCGTTCCGCGTGTCTTTCTATCCAATGTCCTAAATACCGAGTTCATTGTCTCGTTGCAAGACGGGGAATTAGCGGTCGCGCGTTTTTCCTAGCCGGGGAGATTGTTGTGCAGTCGGAATGTGAACGTCAAAAATGAGAGGAGTGGCGTTAGAGAGGCTCGTAAAGACTCCTAACTGTACACCGGACGGGTAGGCCGGTGCAGCTTGTCGCCAGATGAGAAACCTTTTCATCGTTCAATCCTGCGGAAAAAGTTAAAAGGAAAAAAGGCGTAAAAGTACCGAGAGGAAAGAAAGAGAAGTACGAGTAGAGAAGAAATTCTCAAAGAGAATCCAGAGTTAAAACCGATTCCCAAGTCTGGAGAAAAATTTTTTCAGAATCCGAAACCATTTCAAAAATTACCAACTACGCTCCATTTTTATTACGACGAGATATAAATATATTTTGATAATATAAAAAAAAACGCTAAATCCTTTTTCTTTCATTCCAATTGACGCTTTCGCGAATCCTCGAGGAGATTAATTACGTAATTGCGTAGAGGTTAACGCGAGACTACTAGCGCCACGATCCCACATACACGGTCAGAACGCGACCAACCTGGCGTTCCTGCGGCTACAGAAAACCGCTTGGATCGCGTCGTTTAACCCGGCTACCGAAGTCCATCCGCATCGACTACCCCAAGCTCCTTGCCAGGATATTAGCGACCAATCCACGTCGATATCCCGACAAAATCCTAGTCTCGTCTAGTTCGTTGCTCTTCGAAAGAGCTCTCGAACTCGAATAGACTCTGCGACGACTCTAGATCTCTCGACGACCAAAGTTACATCCGACGTAGTGAGCAACGACAACGCAACAA